ATATATAAATGGGAATCCTGATGAAGTAGATTGCCTGATAGAAGATGTTTCTTAACACGAACTGTGGTTCTTAAATCTCTTATTAGGATTATAAGAGGATTAAATATAGATTAAATGAGGGGGAAAATGCCGGGAGAGAGAGAGAGAGGGAAAGAGAAAGAGAGGAAGGTGATTTTTTTTAGTGAAGAGTGTTGATAAATGGACATATTTAAACAGAAGAGTAAATGATAGAATTAAAAAAAATCTTTCTGACTTAATTATAATATCTGATCATTTCTTTTATCTTAATTATTCTCTCACCTTTAACACATGTGGGTGGAGGGCTGCTCCAGGTAAGGTCCCACTGGCAGGTGATGATGTCTGAGCCGCTGATGTCGTAACCCGGCTGGCACTGATAGGTCAGCACGCTGCCTCTCACAGGAGAGGAGTGGGACGAACTTATCCAGCCAAACTCGATTTGAGGGAGGGTAGGGCAGGTGTCATTCGGTTCCACCTCTGCAGACCAGGCAGAGAAAGAAAGACACTTGGTGACTCATTTAAGGTGTTGGAGATTGTTTTTCAACTTATAAGTAAAACACATCTAAATATCAACTCACTCTGGATCATAAAGCAAATTTGGGTGTTGTTGGATTTAAAAGTTCACTCACCACGATAATGAATGAGGAACCCCTGACTGAGGATGAAGCTGGAATCATCTGGGTCGCTCTGAAACTGAATGGTGACCTCTGACCCCCCAGACACGATCTGGAAACGCTCTCTAGAGCCCATATACTGGCCAATCACGTGTGACATGAGGTCACGGCCACCAAAAACTGTCAGCACATCCGTGTGACGAATATTCAAGCTGAAAGGAAAAGTGAAAAAACAAATAAATAAATAAAAAGAACTTTCATTTCAGAGGTTTTTCTCCTATTGAAGCCAAACTATCCACCCACCTGGTGCATTATTTTAGTTGGTTCACTGAGAAGACTGAAGAAAAGAAAAAACTCCACAAACAGCAGATTTTTTTTCCTTTCCTCAACCTTTGAGCAGCTGTTAATTAATTTAATTTGTGCTGCATTCACCAATACTATGTTAACCAATAGGCTTCATTTAACACCTCTGATATATAACAAGTCCTCTGATGTTATGTAGCATGTTTGTACATAATGCTTTATAATCACATATGCAGTTTTTTTAATATTATTTCATATTTATTTGTAACATTATTCAAATATATTTATACAAAATAGATTGATTTATTATAACATTTATTATAAATATACCTTTATAATAAATGTGTATTCATTTCAATGCCGTCTTTTAACAAAGTTACTGCAAATTACAGTTGTTTACTTGGAATTTATTATTTTATACCATTCAGTAATAATAAAAAAGTTCCAAAGTAATAATAAAAAAAGGTCTATGCTTTGTTGATTTACAGTTTTTTTTTTTATTTAATGGGGCTTTTTTTGTAATTTCAAAAAAATAAAATGTAAATGAATGTATTAAAAAATTATACATAATAGTTAATAAAATCTAACTCAGGTTTTTTTTTTTTTTTCTCAATAGAATAGCCTATGCTTCTTTATTACCATACTCACATCTGAACCTCCAGCTCAATTCGTTTCTCCTCGTTAACGAGGATCTGCCAAACACAGTCCAGACCCTTGGAGTAACTCTGGGGCCAGTCAGGGGACAGAATGGTACCGGAAGGCTCAGTCAGTTCTCCTCCACACAAAGCTACAGAGCACAGAAAAATATAAGTAAGCATCTGGACTGAGAGTCCACCAAAGATCCCAGAAGAAAACTTAAACTTAATGACTGGGCTTAATAGAGAGCATCAATCAACATTTGTCAATGGGATTTTGAATGCACAACTATGGGAATACAGGGAGAATGCATTCATTATTGGATTAGAATTTCTTATAAAGAGGGCCTAACTTATTTTTTTTATTTCTTTATTCAAATCCATAAAATAAGAAAAATTGCACATGGTATTAAACAACAAAAAGGGTGGCAATCTGTTTGCAATGGTTTGTTTGGTTGAAAGGTTTTGGCTTCGAAGTTTTTTTGTGCTGGACAAGTTACATTTAATTCATGAATTTCTATTGACTTAATAAATAAAACCTGGCTGAGATTATTTCCAAAGCCATTCTGTTGTTTCAGGGTACAAGACCATGCAACAACTCTCCTGTTAGTGTCAAATACTATGCCCTTTTTCTTTAAAACTAATGCTGACCACATGAATACAAACTTTACAATTAAAATTCTGTATTGTTGGTCATTCAGCTATACTTTACTTTGCCAGAGTAGTTTCACAGTCTTCTGTTCATACTTCATATCTCTCCCTCTTGTAATCTTAAAAGTTTCCCAGTCTTTAAGGAGGAATTTAATTATTTTTACTGGAGTTTTAAAGGCTTCTTTTGTCTTGGACCACATAAACTGTTTGGTCTGAATAAAATCTAATCTATATTTATAGCAATTTCTAAAGATGACATTCTGATCGAACGCAGTGCTTGAGGCTGAATCATCTGATCCACACTAAAAAGAGGTTTCTTTCAAAAATCAATAAAAGCACAATATCACCATTGAGAATAGAACACCATTATGCTAAACTAGGCTGAATATTTAATATTGCTGATATATATGTGGTGTTTAGGTACATGAAATCCATCCATCCATCCATCCATCCA